ATAAGCCACACCACGATTGACGCCGATCATTGGATTATAACCAGTTTTAGACGATCTACAATGACCTAACAATATCCAGCACTCGAGTCTAAACCAGTGTGGTCTAACAGCCTTGCTCCAAGTTGAGTGTACTGCTGCTGGCACCATATAGGAACATATAGGGTCACGACCAAATCACTCTTTGATGCCAAGCGGAGCCTCGGGTCTGTACTCCTACTTTCTGCACAAAAACTGCCATTGCTATTCCTTCCTATCGAGACCAAGCCTGAGTACCCCAGGACTGACTCAAGTTGCTAAGGTGATCTACAATGCGATCAAGGGTCAGAGTTCCAGATAGAAAGGTTGTTACAGAACCAAGGATCGTCGCTCTGGCATGAAATGAACGTAGGCTTGCAAATGGCTAGGCAATGACAACGCTGCCTTCACTGTAAGCTCATCGGTGAACCGATCCGGCATTCTACTGGAAGGCTGCAGTTGCCTGTTATACGTTCGTGTCGAGACTCAAGGGAGATCATCTGCCAACGAGTCAAGCAAGACCCACAGAATAGAAGCGTACCGCGTCTACCATAATAATGTCAGATCTACCTGGGTAATGCAGTTGGCTGGCGTACCGGGGCAACGATCGGTCTGTAGGCTTGCTTTCACCGAAATTAAACTGCCGATATCGGCAGTAGCGTACCTACATGACGCCATGCTTAGGAAAAAAGCAATGAGAGAAGGCAGAAAGGGGGAAAAAAAAGCAAAAACAGAGAGGACGAGTTGGTTGTTCCGGGGGTCACATCTATGCCGTTCCATTTCTAAGGTTGCTAAATGCTATGGTATCAAAATCTTACAGACCGGACGGTGGCATGTGACGCCGCCCCTTTCTGTGTTGTTCTGGAGTGCTCATCCATCGTGTTGCGTGGATTCTGAACGTCCGCAGATTGTGTATGGTTGCCGGGAAGAACATAATGGGTTGGATTGTAAAGCATGAAATCCTCCATAGACCCTTACCTGCTCCCATGACGCATACAGTCGCCGTGGCGACCACTCAGAGGACATTTTGCCAAGAGGCTGAGCGAAGGTGGATGATGAGGATTGTCTACAATGTGTCCCCGCTCACAAACTTCTCACTTGGAAATGCTCAGTCAGAAGTTCTGGTCTCAATTCTATCCGCTGAAGCGGAATCGAGTAGCCTCCAACCGGCCTAAGCCCTCGCGAGGTGCCACGTTTCGTCGGCGATATGAGTGGGTAAAGTCTGTAAGATGCTGTTAGTCGTAATAGAGACTGTGGAACGGCCAGGCTTGGTCCTACCTTGTAGAAGAGATCTGATTTTCCGGATTTCCCCGGTTTGCACTTTGTCCGCGATGCCTTTCAACAGCCGCTCTGCCTCCCCTGGCTTCATGGTCCCGGCCGGGAGCATCTGGAGCGTGGACTGCAACCATGCCCCAGCTTCTTGGGGCACCAAGTCAAAGAGAGTCATCATAACTCCCGAAGCGTCCGCGAAGCAGTCCCCAGGGAATGTGAACATCATTCCAGTCAGAATCCTCTGGGTAAGAACTTGACCTTGGGCAAGGATCAACTGCTTGACAGCCTCTCTGACCTCAGGTGGATTCGTGTACGAATCCCCGTCGGAGCTGGTGAACCTCGAGACGGCGGGCTTTTCGAAAGCGAAGCTGAATAAATCATGGTAATAATGCAGTGTCGCAATGAGGGGATCAATCTGCTGGAGGGTAAGGGCGCTGAGCGCCGCAGAGAAAATAGGCACTGCGAGGGACGAGGTGATGCACTCTTTGGGGTAGAACCGGACAGCGTCCGAAGAAAGACGGTAAAAGTCCTCGATGACTGGACAAAGTTAGCGTACCTATGACAAAATCTTACCAGACGAATAGAGCTTACCATCGGGCAGGTTCTCTGGTGGCAGCTCATTCAGGATCCGTAGAAAAGCAACTGCCTGTTGTTCGTAGAACTGGAAGACAGCATTGCTTGTCGACCGGTCGACGAACTCGGCCCCTTCAGCAAACTCGCGTACAACAGCATCGGTGGCCCATAAGAAACATCCTTCCCGCGAAGCCTCGAATCCGTTGGCAATGCTCTGGGCCAGCGTGGGCAATAGAGGAATCATCGCAATTCGGTACGAGATGATCATATACCGCCAGCACCGGCAGACACGCTCCAATATGGGAGTGGACGAAGTGAAGTTCATAACAATCGTCGTCATAATCGGCAGAATCTCGCCGCAATACTTGACGGCCGGGTTGTCTTCGTTCGGGCCAACATAAGGGTTAACAACTTGCACAAAGATTGTGATCAATTGTAAGTGATCTGCATAGGGATTGGTCAGCTATTGCTCCCACAATATGTGAAAAATGCAAGTCAAACGTACCGGCAACAGCGCGCTGGCCTTGCTCATCGCTTGCATTGTTCGCCAAATTCATGATCCGTGCCATTATGGGATCACAAAACAACTTCATAGTTTCGTAGATCTTGTCAAGAGGTTGTACAGCAACAACAGCAGCAACGCCCTCAGTGACTTCTTCCTGGCTGGCTGGCTTCAACTTATCGATGACCGATTCATAGAAGGAGTGAAGCTGCGGAATATGCCCTCCCAGTAGCTTCTGACAGTCTGTACCCAAGTACTTGAATGCTAATGCGGCAGCCTGCACGACCTCGGGAGAATTATGCTGGAAACCAGAGATGACATAGTTGAGTTGTGCTTCCAGGGTTTCGGGATGTTGAGCGGTCCATTCCGTGTAACGTGCGAGAGCCATGATAGCCTGAAATCGCACCTTCTCCTGATTGGGTATTTGAACAATCAATGGAATAATCTGCGAAAGGACTGTACTTTCCTCGGGATCGACCATGCGGCCCATAGCCCGCAAACTGAAAAGCGGTGCCTCAAGCTCCTGCCAGTGAGGAACATGTTGGTCGCTCGCTTGAGATGCGTACTTGGAGACCCACTGTTGAATCAACGCGTTCGCCTTTGACAAGCACTCAGTAACACCGATGACGGCGCAGCAATCCTTGAGTACATCGCCCATGGAGTGCCGGTAATGACGGAATTTCTCTTCCTGTTCCCGATCACCACCGAATAGATCGGTTTCGCCCTCTTCGGGACGGGGGTATTCAAGATGGTTGACCATGATGTCCACCAGCTTTGAGAATACATCAGTGAAAGCGACACGCGCGTCTCCGTATCGCTCGAGTGTGACATATTGCTTCAGCTCGTACCAGAAGACGAAAGTAAGAGAAACTGCGTCATGCTCCCAGTCTCGGGCGCAGCATTCAAGAACCGCTTCCACCAGGCCGCGGAACTCGGAAGGTAGCCGGGCAATCATCACGACCCAAGCCTCACCGGCCTCTGCAAAAAGCCTGGTGATACCCTTGAACGCATCTGTATCTTCTGCCTCGGCGAATTCCGCGATCTTCGGACGCAGAGCCAATAACCGTGGATATAAAGCCTGAATGATTGACACCGATTCATCGACTTCTCGCGTATCCCTGTAGAGGGTGCACATGCTATCAACAGCGGATTCAAAGGAGACATCGTTGTCCAACGCTTTCAGAATGACATCCATCAAAGGCGATTCAACAATTTTCGCGGCCGGGATCTCACGCATCCAAGAGGTTATACAGTCCAAGAGACGTGGGTTGGTCGATGCTGTTGCTAAATGCGGACGAAGTGGGCACGGATTAGTATATAGAGCCTTAAGAATGACAGATGTGTACTTACCGGATGACTGGGCATATTGGATCAGTAGATGCATCACCTGCTCTGCATTGTCTTCCAACAACTCCTTGGTCCGCGTCAAAAGATCCTCTTCCTAGAAAGATACACCAGCATTAGAGTCTGTTCCACTGAGGGTGGATTGTGCCGATTCGTTGAGACTGGATTATGAGTGGTGAGACGTTGGTTCTGCCGGAACGTACACTGAGATTGATTTTGCGACCTTCCGTCACTTCCTCGGGTAGGATTTTAAGAAATTCTAGGACACAGTCGCCGGCGCTGCTTCCTAGAACCGACCCGACGGTAGCAAGGACATCTTTCCACTCGGTCATCTGAATGGCAAGGCTCGCCAAACACACGCAGAGCTGTGTCTGTATCGGTCGTGGACCTGACGCATAAGCCACGAGGAGGTTCAGCACAGAGTCTCTCAAAGCAACTACAGAATCCGTCGGTAGTTGATCTAAATCAAATATGATCTATTAAGGTCAGCATTTCTAAGCAGCACATTTCCTGACGACCATGGCATATGTTGCTGCACCTTTCCCTTCAGTGTGGTCGCTGCGAACAACTTTGCTTCAACAGGGACATCCGGCGACTGTAATAGCTCATGGGTGATACTCCAAGCCTCGATCTAGATAGAATATCAAGTGTCAGGCAGAAATTCTGTGAAACCGTGTGGGGTGCGATCGAGGGGTTCAACTTACGGACTTCTGGAACTTTTCAAGGAACTCATGAGCATGTGTCTTCTCACTTCGTGATACGTTTCCTTGCATTGTAGCGACTGCTGCGAGGACAGGACCAAAGGCCTGTCCTGCGGCCCCTTCCTTACTGGCCATGGTCGACAAAGGTGGGATGTTTTGATCTAGTGTATAGGAGACGGAAGCGGAGGGGTCAATCCGGCCGGAAAGGCTCAAAAATTATAGGAAAATGTCATGTACACTCATTAAATGAGCATTAGATGAGAGATGAAACGAGGGCTCCAAGCACCGGTATTTAATAAATGTGGTGGACTGATAGATCTGGCAACCGTCCTTACGTAGTAGGGAAAGTGGGATGTGGTGACGAGAAACTTAAACGGAAAAGTTGGTGAGCCGCAATCGTCCCCAAGGCGGCCAAAAGAAAACGTGTGGGTGAAGGAACCTCCTTCAACCAGCTTAGCTTTGCCTGATAACCACCACCACGGACAGAGCCTCAACACAAATTCTACAATTAACAACGACACCATCGAACGGCGCCCAGTCGGTTTCAGTGCCAGCTACGTTCTTTTAACAATCTTCCACGTCGCGTGTCCATCATGTCCGGCCGAGCAGGCGGTGGAGGTGCTCGCAAGACGCTGCTTGCGCCAATTCACTTCATCTTCAAGCTTCTGCAACAACGAACGACGGTTTCTATTTGGCTCTACGAGCAGTTGGCATTCCGGATAGAGGGAAAGATTAGAGTATGACCCTTTTCTTTCCTTGCAACAAGTTATCAAGCTAACAACATGCGCCAGGGATTCGATGAGTTCATGAACTTGGTCATTGATGATGCGGTGGAAGTGAGAATGGCTACAAAGACTGATGAGGAGAAGCGGAGAAGCCTGGGTATGAACTGCTGCCACTGACTACTTGATATCGCAAGTGAGTGGTGTTGCTAACACGCGCATTCATCACAGGTCAAATTCTGCTCAAGGGCGACAATGTGTCTCTCATCCAGGCCGTCCAGTGATTTTACCACGAAAGGAGGAAAAAGGTTCTATTCATCTACGGCAGCTTCGATTTCTACACAGCCGTTTACTTTACGATTTGCCGCTGAAGGACAGTTTTATGCATAATTGAATAGACGGGTTCTTTGCTTGCGTGAAGACTCTTTCTCGGAGTGGTTATATCAGGGTTGGCGAACAAGAAAGCGGCCGTCGCCGACAATGAGCATGTCTACTGGCCAGTCGTGATCCGCAACGGGTATTTCCTCTGTCAAGGGAAGCATTTGCTCTTTGAGGGAAAGGGCAACTATATGGAATTAGTAAGGTCACTTTACGGGAGTTTCGGGTTTCGGATGCGGCTGCTCCTCACCGAGTAAAGGCATTTTTGATGTTGTCGTCTTACTGTCGGCTACCTTTTTCGAGTATCTCGTCAAGAAATGATCATAGTAACCTTTACCATGACCAAGTCTTCGGAACCCTTGATCGAAAGCCATTCCAGGCATGATTATCAAATCAAGCCCGTCGAATCTCTGCGTAGCATCCTCCACCGTCTTTGGGGAGACACCAATTGTCCCAAAACAGTTTCTCTTGTTCTCAACCTGGGCCTTGGTAAGCGATGGTATCCCCCACTTATCAGGTTCAAGAGATTTGAATTCTTCCATAGACTGCAGAGCCAACATGTCCATGATGGAGGTCTTTTTCTGCGTCGAAGGTGGCGAGTCTATGCTATGGATATACGGCACGAATACCTCTTTGCCGTGAGTCAAGGCGTCTTGGACTATGGCCGTAGTTGAAAGTTCCCCTGAAGGCATGGACAGGTAGACACCGATCCTCTTGGCATTTTGATACTCAGTGAGAGAGAATAGCTTATCCACAGCAACTCTGGCTATGCTTAGTTAGCTCACTGTTGACGTGTTGGCGATAAAAGAATGTCTGACATTGATGAATGATTGACTCATTGGGGGTTTTCTGAAGAACATCACGGATCTTCTTGCGGAGGTCCCTTTTAGCTGTCTGTAGACCGGAAGCCATCATTATTGCTACGGCTGGCAGAGTATGATATCAATGCGCATTCTTCGAACACTCCAAGACGTGATCAATGTTGTTCAATAAGCGCATGGATTTGTTCAATATTCCGTCGATGCGATTTGGCCTTAGGTATTCTCCGATATTCCCGGTCACCACGTCTTGGCACATTGTTATGTGGAGTATCCGCATGGTTGGATCGACAGGGCCAGGTAATTCTACATACCAGTCATGGCTTACCTCCTTCACTGCAATGAAGGGCAAGTTGTCGCCCAACATGGCCTCCCTTCACGGGTTGTTCCTCATCTTGCTACACATCGCGCTACCTGACGCTGCTAGGCTCTCGCTTCGATACGCTGAAAGATGATTGTCGGATACTTGCTGCTCAACTTCCTCGTCGCGGTTGTCAGGGCCAGTAGTGTTGCCGATCTGGTTGGGACGTGGACAACTAAGTCTCGCAGTGTTGTGACAGGCCCGGTAGGCTCGCTGCAGGCGCACAGTTGCTGATATTTCCGAGTGGTCTGCATCAATCTCTAACGTCTCGCTGTATCTTGCAGGATTTCTACGATCCGATCGACGACAAACTGCTCGAACCAAGTCTCACTGGCATTTCGTATTCATTTACTGCAGATGGATACTATGAACAGGCGTACTACCGTGCCGTTGCCAACCGTCAGTTGCTCCCCACGCTTTCTCGTCGGAGGCTGTTTTCTGACATTACTTGTATTCACCAGCCACAACGCCTTCCTGTCCTAAAGGTGTCATGTTCTGGCAGCATGGCAAATATGCTGTGATGCCAGATGGATCCATCCAGCTGACTCCAATAGCGGTCGACGGCCGCCAGTTGGTGTCCGATCCATGCTCAAAGGACGTGGGCATGTACACAAGATTCAACCAGACCGAGACTTTTAGTGTACACTGAGGACCTGTCGCATCCCTCTGATAACGTTGCTAACTGTCAGTAGTCATTTACGGTCTCCATAGACTCATACCATCATGTCAAACGTTTGGATCTCAAGGCATTCGACGAGGCCCCAATGCCTCCAATGTATCTTATTTTTAAACCTCCTCAGATGTTACCCACGACCACCTTAAACCCGGTCAGCTCGGAGACGGGCAAGAGCAAGCGCCATATTGCCCGAGATATAGGGTCTCCTGTAGGCGTGAACACTCTGATGCGGAGCGATCACATCATCAACCCAGACAGATGGCTATGGTTTGGTATTCTGATGACTGCTATGGGAGGAATTGCTTTGATTTATTCTTGACTTTCTAGACTGCAATGGTTCTTTCAGGTGCATCATGCATTCGCATCTTGGGCGCATTGGTGTTCGAGATCTTGATGTACCCAAAATCGCCATATGCTGCAATGAAGATTCTTGCACGTCACTTGGCGTTGGAGGTCCTCTTCCCAGAGACTGGCTCAAACGTGTCATTAGTAACTCTTCCACTGTTCCGCGTCCCAAGGCAGGTCCTGAGTGCAGGATAATAGAAGAAAGAAAGAAAAGTCTAATATCTCGTTCACATCATAATACAAGGGGTTCTATGATACATCATTTCTTCTCAAGCGGAAGCGACGGCCTCCTTGGCGATCTTTGCAACTTCTGCTCTCTCTGCAGGCTTACCATCCAGGGCGCCGCCAGGAGCAAAGAGAGACTTGAGTAGACCGCCGACCTCGACCTTCTTGCCGGCTGCCTTCATCTTCAAGAGTTCCTGCGACACAATCGTCTTGATGTCGTCCAGGGTCATGGTCTCCACTTGGCCGGCATATTCCTCCAGGATTGTGACCTGTGCATCTTCCTTCTCCTTCAAATCGGGCCGATCGGCGTCTGCGAATTGTTTTGCTGCCTCCTTGGCAGCAGCCGCGCGCTTCCGAATGAGCGACAGCAATTGCAAGTCTGTCTGAATCGGCGATGAGGTCTTTGCGGAGTTATTTGTTTCCGAGATCAGCGCGCGAAGGACATTCAATCTGGACGCATTTCAGTTAACATCGGACATGGATTTTCGAAACTAGCTTGAGAAATACCTAGCCGTATCCTTCGCCCTCATGGCAACCTTGAGATCAGATCTAATTTTGGCCATTAAGGGCGGCGAAGCTGGGCTGGCAGTCGAATTCCATCGCACCGGACTCAGGTTCAGCCGACTGGTCGACCTCAAAGTTCTGAACATCCTTTCGTCCTGAAGCGCAAGTAATTGATCGAATTGACCAGAAGTAAGAGCAAAGGAAGATTAGAATAAATCACAATTTCATGGGTGGAGCCTAACAATGTTTATTGAGGACTTGGAATGAAATCATTGTCGGGGAACACAGAAAAGGCGGAAAGCTGCTTGGGGCTGTTGATCTTGTCTGGTCCGTGCACAATTTTGTTTCTCTTCTGCTGTGAAGTTCCCATTCTGCCAGTTACCTGCTTTTTGTCGTTGTCTCAATTGGCTCTCAATACAATAATAATAATAATTTGATGAGAACCAACAACTCTTTGATGCTAATCCTGATCTGCTAGGGTGTCTAGTTACTTGCTTATGCTTGGTCCCCTCTCTTTTCCTCTAAACTCGTTCTTCCCTGACCTTTACCACGCCGAACGAAGTACCACACCGAGGAGCGCGACATATTCTCCCAAAGCCGTTGACGGCGACAGCACAAAGCCATGTCATACCCCAATCTTCCGACTCTGACTCCTCAAAAACATCTCCCCGGAGCTTTCTTCCAGACTCCCGCGCCTAAGAATGTATCGAACACGTCGCTCATATCTCCCACGCCAGCTCCTGCCCCAGCAGAGAGAACTTCGCCAGCTTCTCTTCCGAAGCTTCCTCCGGCCGCATCGAAGTCCCAGAGCCAAACGCTGAGCATTGAGGAGCGTGCTGCAAGCACAGTAAACGATACGCTCGTCCAGGAATCTCGGTATCCCGACCTTGATAGCTACCTGTCTCGTAAGGAAATGTTGATCGCCTTGGTTCGTCTTTCGGTCTGGCTGACAGTTCCTTCACAGAAGGGTTTTCTTCCGATTACGACATCCCCACCTCGCCGTCATGGGCGCCCTTTCAGAAAGTGAAGATGTATAATATCCCCGATCAGATCTTTGATCAGTATAACCGAGCACAGGTTTCCACGAGTATGGGTCTCTTCGCCGAGTTGAATCACGCCTGGGTTGCTATTGACAACGCGCTCTACATCTGGGACTATACGCATCCGAATCCCCAACTGGTCGGGTTTGAAGACCAGCCCAACAGTATCAATGCCGTCAAGCTGGCAAAGCCTCGCGCCGGAGTGTTCCTACCTTCAGTTACCCACCTTCTTGTTATATCAACGACTGCCGAGGTCATCTTGCTGGGAATGGGTTGTGAAACAACGCCGGGGGGTGCGCGACAAGTCAGCTTGTATCAGACCGGCATGTCGGCCTCTATTCGTGGCTTGGATATCCATGTCATCGCCTCGTCGGATGCGACAGGTCGTATCTTCTTCGGCGGCTCTACGGACAACGATGTCTATGAGCTCACATATCAACAGGAGGAACGGTGGTTTCAAGGTAGATGCGCCAAAGTTAACCATACCAGCTCGCGCATCTCGGCTTTCACGCCCAGTCTGAGTTTCACCCAGAAGACCACTGAGACGGTGGAACAGATGGAGATTGACGACACAAGGAGACTTCTCTACACTCTGTCGTCATCTTCGACCATTAGAGTTTTCCACATGAAACCAGACGGTACTTTGGCTTTGGCTATTACCAAACCAGCCATGGACATATACGCGAACATTGGGCACATCATTGCGTCCAATGAGACTCTCAACCCGAAAGTTCCAATTGTGTCCATTAGCCCTATACCAGCCGCTGAGGCCTCGAGATATCATCTAATGGCCACAACCGCAACCGGCTACCGTATCTATCTCAGTGCGACGGCCTCTTATAGCTGGTCGCCTGCCCCAAATGGCACGAATGCGCCGACAAGCATGCAGGCGCATCATGTGAAGACTCCACCTTTCGACAACCCTCCTTCTACGCCGGTGGAGCTGGGTCAGCCACGGTTCCAGACCTCCGGAGCATCTAGGGTTCCCATACATTCTCTCAATCCTACCAGGTTCACCGTTCGATACCCGCCGGGGTATTTTTTCTGCTTCACCTGCAAGGATCCCACGCAGAAGACCGACATACTTTTCATCTCTTCTCCCGACTCTGGTCGAGTTGCTCGCTCTCAAGAGAATGTCATCCCTGGAAAGGCAGCCGAGACAGGCATCTGGCTCTCCCTGGGTAGCAGGGCGGAGGATGTTGGCCTCTGCTCCGCGCCTAGCGCGGCTGCCTTGACCCCAGGAGGATTCGGCAACGAGCTTGCCGTTCAGTTTGACAGCGCTGCGGCCGAGATCGCGATTTTGACCAACACCGGCATTCATGTGATTCGCCGCCGGCGACTCGTTGACATGTTTGCTGCATTGGTTCGGGGTGGTGGTAGTGGCGGTGATGAGGGGCTCGAGGGCGAGGTCAAGAACTTCATTCGCACGTATGGCCGGAGCGAGACTCTTGCGACGGCGCTTGCAGTCGCGTGTGGACAAGGAGTCGAGGTCTCTACGGATTCACGCCTGACTCAGATCAATGATCCCGATGTTTTGGAGTTCGCGCGTAAAGTGTTCATCGAGTACGGAGGCCGGCCGACCGTGAATGAGAACGCGGTCGCAGACAGCTCCACGCCAGCCATCGACACCGTTATCCTATCGCCCAGGCATGCGGGAATCGCTCTCTATATGTCAAGACTACTACGGTCGATTTGGAAGAAGGAAATCGCAAGGGTCGGCAGCGGCCCCAATGGTGCACAGACGATCTCTGCATCTGTGGCGACAACGAAGCTGCAGAGTGTACAGCGTGACCTGTCTGCTCTGCAAGATTTCTTCAAGACGAATAAGAGTTTCATTGAGGGATTGAGCGGTCCTGAAGCCTTGGCCCGTGTGTCGACAAAGCAAGAAGAAACGGCGCTACAAGCCGAACACAGAGCGCTGCATTCGCTGGTTCAGTTGGTTTCAC